AAGAGCCCTGCCTTGGTCATGCATCTGCCACTGGGGACCTTCACACTGCATCATGCTGGAAACAGCCAAGGGTAAAAGGCAGACTTCTAAAGACATACCTTCCCTCACTCTCCTTGCCAATGAGCTTGAGGAAGTGTGACTCAGGCGCTGAGATTCTCAGCACCTGGGGATGTTTCTAAGCACCCCTGTACCCTCACCCCCAGCCTTTATGACAGTCTGGTGTCTTCACTGTCTTCCTTATTCCTTGTCCCCAAGACCATAAAGGCTGTCCTTTCATCCTTTTTTTCAGTCTGCCAGGAGGCTTCTCCAGATCCCAGTCTGTGTCCCCAGGCCGTCCCCTTGCTACAGCAAAGGAATTCAGAGAATCCTTTCTCCAGACCACGCATGGCTTTTCAGGCTGCTCAATTGCTGGGAACTCAAACAAAAATCTTGTAGATATTCGAGCTGGGCAGTGGCTCGCTCCAGCAGGATCTCCCCTCTCATCCTCAGCACCAAATGACTACAGTGGGCAGAGCCCCCAACTACAAGACCCGCAGCCTGAAGAAACAGATTGGAAACTATCTATGGAGAAAATAATATTTCATTTACACACTTCTTTAAGAATATTTATGGTGGGCCAATGATGTACTGGGCACTAAGTTAGGACATACACGCTCCTTGAAGTTGTATGTAGTGATGGCTTTATTAAGAAATAATTGACTTACCATACAATTCAGTATTAAAGTGGACAACCACTACCACCATCTAATTATGGAATATTTTTATCACTTCGAAAAGAAAGTCCATATTCATTAGTAGTAACCTCCCAATCACCCTCCCCCACACTCCTGGCAGCCATGTATCTACTTTTTGTTCCTATAGATTTGTCTACTCTGGACATTGCATATAAATGGAATGTATAATCTATGGCCTTTTGTGATGAGCTTTTTAATTTCGTGTAACATTTTCAAGCTTTGTTCATGTTGTACTGTGCATTAATACTTCCTTTATTTTTATAGCAGAATAATGCTCCATTACATTGGATGTGCCACATTTTATTTGTGCATTTATCACTTGATGACTGGGCCGTCTCTACTTTTTTGGCAATTATGAAGAATCCTGCTATGATCATTCATGTACAAGGTTTTACGTGGGCAAATGTTTTCAATTCTCTTGGGTTTATATCCAGAAATGGAATTTCAGGGTCATATATGTTAAAAAAAATTATCTGAGTAAATGTTAAGGATCTTATTAGCTTTATTCAGCAATTCATAAATCGGACAGCATCCAATCTAGCAGCTAGAAAGAGTTTCAAGGAGTCATACAAAGTGACTTTCACAGGCAAGAGGGAGTGGGAACAAGGAAGTAACATCAGCAAAAACACTGGCCATGGCAAGGTCACCAGGGCTGGCAGAGAGCTGCCCTGCAGATGACCTCACTGGTGCTAGGTAGGCGATTCTTGATGGATCAGTTTAAGATAACATTTCTGGAAGAGCCAAAACTGTAATTAAGTTAAATCTTGGTTTGGTGATGTGGGGCTTAGCATAAGCGACTCCATTTTGGGCCTGTCGTCTTATTTTTAACATGTGATAGCTCTGCTTAACATTTTGAGAAACTGCCAAACTCTCTTCTAAAGTGGCCACCCCATTTAACATCCCACCAGCAGGGTCTGTGCGTTCCCGGTTTCCGGCATCCTCACCGACACGGAACCGTAGCTTTGACTTTGGCCATCCTCATGGCTGTGAAGGAATCTCACTGTGGTTTTGATTTGCATCTCCCTGGCGGCGAATGATGATGAGCATCTTTGCATGTGCTCATTGGCCATTTGAATACCTTCTTTGGAGAAATGTCTATTCAAACCCTTTGCCCATTTTTTAGTTGAACTATTTGTCTTTTTTTTCTGTTGAGTAATGAATTCTTTATATATTCCCAATATAAAGTTGTTGTTTTTTTTCCCCAGCCCTTCTTGAGAGACACCTAAATGGAGGTCAGAGTAGGGGCTGCAGTTTGAACAGTCGGTGGAGTTCATGGCAAGATGACAGAAACCTTGCCAAAGAGCGCATTCCCTCCCACGCAGTGAAGGTTCTCGGGCAGCGGCAGCCCTGAGGAGGACGCAGGAGAGCCCTCGGGCGGGCCTGGGCCTGCTGCCCGGTTACACCCCCTTCCAAATCCCCGCTGAAGAGCCGCTGGGTGGAGGCGGCAGGGAGGTTGGCTGGTTAGTGTATTGAAGGAAGAATCCTATGGCAGAGGGGATTTTTCTTCGTTTCTTTTCTCTTAAGGAGCATAGGCTTTTATTTCTGGGGTAAGTGAGATGATACACAGAGAAGCAGTTGGATGACAAAGGGATATGCAAATGTAAGGTGATATTCTTGCCTCTACTATTGTTATTTGTAAGAACCAATGAAAACCGTCTCTAGGATGGAATCAAAGAGCCTCTGTGTGTGGTGGTGAGGCAGCTGGGAAGGGTGTGGGGGCATGAAACTAAGGGGGGGCAGCAGGATCTGCAAACCTTGGTTACCTGCATGAGGAGGGAGAGGGAGGGAGAGAGCTGCCGTGTGATTTCTGGCGTATTCCTTCACCACCTGTAGAATTATTTACTTAATGCTTTACTTCGTGAGGGCTCCTATTTCTTTTCACGACACAGATATATTTATAAAGGAAACTTTATATCACAGTTATAAATGGCAAACCTGTATCATTTTCAAAATGGAAGGGAGTCTGTAAACAAATATAGTGACACCCAGCAGTGTCATAAATTCTAGCCGGATGCTGTCAGCTTCTGGGCCTGAGCAACTCACCCAGCTTAGCCTGGATCACAGCCCCTTGTCTCTCAGGTCTCCACCCAAGCGGCGCCTCCTCCGGGAGCCTCTCCAGCCCCACCCCCTCCACATCTTTGCTTTATTGCGTTTCTGGCACCTACCGCTGTCTAAGGGAGGCGGCCTTTCCTGTGTGGGTTTCCTTAGTACGCTCTCTCCTCTGCCTACCTCTGTCCATAGTTGTTGAATAAATAGCCAAGAGCCCTGGGCTGCAGGGATGTTCTCTGCCTTGTTTCCTTTCAGCCGGTGTCCACTGGGTGTCACAGGCACCTGCCACTTGTGGCTCGAGGCCCCTTGAACCTCCTGTAACAGGACTGAGCGAGACTTGGGGAGGACGCTGCCTCTGGGGTGTCACCTGCAGCCCCCCTGGCTCCCAGCCCACGCTGCAGGAATCCCCGGGCTTGTGCCTGCAGTCCAGGCTTGGATCCCCCCTTGCCCACCCGCGGTGGGGCATCCTGCAGCATCATGGTACCCCACCAGCTTCTGCCCTCCCCAGAGTAAAGGAGTGGTACCCTGCTGGCCTCGTGGGACTTGGTGTGCAGGGCTGGGGACAGCAGATACAGGTGCACCTGGTGGAGAGAAGCCACTGGATAAAGGATGGCAGGATCTTGGAACGGGCTCAGCAGAAGAGGGGCTTTAATTACAGACTTTTTCTTCCAGCCTTAATGGTAAAAAGTAACAATATCACTTACCTTTACTGAGAACTCATTATGTGCCAGGTACCTTGCTACATAAATCCTGGCATTTTATCTTATAAATCCTTATTTTATCCTTGCATTAATCTTATAGAATAGGGATTTGCTATTCCCATTTTATAGATGAGGGGATTGAGGCTTAGAATCGTTTTCTGACTTGCCCGAGGTGAGGTGGCCAGCCCCTATTCTTGACCACAACGTTGTAGGAACCACTTCAGTGTCACCACCTGCACGCAGGACTGCCATCCCAGGGGCTCACCTCTAAAGAGTCCTAACCATCCTGCTACGCCTTTGATGACATCTGCTCAGTCTCCCTCAGTGTCTGTTTGTGTGGCAAGCATCGTTTCTAGGGAGCTGAGACCACCCCCACTCTCCTCTCCCCAGGGTCAGGCCGGGTTCCTGGCACTGTAGGTGCTCCGCCTGTGTCTGCCAGGTAAGTGAGGGCCTGGCTTCTGCCAGGCTCCAGCTCCGAGAGGATAGACGAAGACAAATGAGCAGTTGATTTCCAGAGATAGGAATTAGCTCAACAGAAAGCCCTCAGGATGCTCACCTAGGAGAATGTGTGGCAGGGGGAGCCAGGAGAGCCACGGCGGCACAGTGAGGGGGGCCTGCTGCCCTCCCCCCAAGGTGGCAGCGGGAGGTGCGGGTGGGAGATGGCATTGGGCGGCTCCTCCTGGCCTGTGACACCGATGATGCTGTAGTGACTTCTCTGGCTCTTCGTCTCTGCAGGAGAGAAGAAGAGGGAGTGATTCTGGGGTGTGGATACCACGTGTGTTGCATAATTGGTGGCAACTCTGAGGTGACTAGCCCTAGGATCCTGCACTGTCCTGGGTGGCTTCTCTACACCCTGACCTTGACCTTGTTACTGTGCCTTGTCCATAAAATTCCTTCTTTTAGACCCTCTTCAAATCATCCTAATTCGACTGTGCCCTCTGCCCCTGCAGGGACCCTGATGCGTGGGTGGGGGATGCCCCTTTGGGGCTCTCCGGCCCCCTTTTGAGGTCAGGGCCTATGCACACTCATTTCTGTGTCTTCAAACTGGACACAGTGCTTGGGACATGGGTCTAAGAGCAAACATTTAGTGAGCACCTAGTATATGCCAGGCATTTTTACCTGTATTAACCCAAATAATCCTCACAATCATCCCATGGTTATCATCCCCATTTTATAATTGAGGAAATTAAGGCACAGAGAGGCTGAGTAACTTGCCCAAGGTCACACATCTTGGCGTGGGCACATCTGGGACTCGAACCCAGGCAGTATGACTCCTGAGCCCACCATGTGGCACTCAGCCCTGCTGGTGGGCTGCCTTTCTGTTTGCTGGTTAGAAGGTGGCATCTATTAGCCCAGGGAACCAAAAGAACCTACGTCTTTGCCCACTCAGGGGCTCCGGTAGAATGGGCAGAAGGTGGAATGTAGGTCACCATGGCAACCAGATCACTCGGGCACACAAACTGGTGAGCCTTTGGGGCAAAGGTTCTGCTGCCAGCAGAGAGAAAGGTGTGGCTGGCATGGGGCAATGTCTGAGGTACCAGATACACTGGGAGGACCTGGAAGAATACCAGGTGGGTAGGTCGGGCTGGAGATTTGGGGCAGCGGTGGGAGCTTCCTGGGGCAGGCGGGGTGAGCGGGAAAGCGCTCACCTGAAGCTCTAGAGTCAGGGTAGTGGGGGCCCTCGCCTTTGCCACGGCCCAGCCCAGTCCTCCCTGCCCGTCTCCTGTCCAGAGCCCAGTTTTCAGTCTTGTCTCTGGTCCCCTCCCCAGGCCGGAGCCCGTGCCCCCTTCCCCAAGGCCATCAGGGACAGGGAGGAGGGAAGGGCACTGTTTCCTCAGCGGCCCCCCCTCAGGGAGCTACCAAGGGCTGCGGTGCCTCCATTTCCTGGGCTGTGGGATGCGAACAGGCACCTTTCCACCCCAGCCCAGAGGCTCCCCACTCCGAGGGAGGCCAGGACGGGGCTGGACGGAGTGGGCAGGTCCCCTCTCTGTGGTTTGTTGTAGGCCCTGACCTTCCTGACCAGGAATGAAATCCTGTGGTGAGTAGAGGGCCCCCTTCCCCTGCCCCTGAGGTGGGATTTTGCCCCAGCCCCGGTGGGATCCCTGCTCACAGCCACGGAGCTCTGTAGAGGAGGCTGCACAGGGCCGGCAGAGCTGGACCCCAGCCCCGAGGGTTGGAGGTCATGAGCCCCAGGCCTGGCTGAGCTGAGTGAGATGTCTGCCTGCTACAGGATCCAGGGCGGGGTTTCTGTATAGACTCACAGAGGTGCACAGGGCCTTCTCGGGGTAATGAAGAGCAGGAGGAAGGACTCAGAGGACAGGTCTGAAGTCCGTTTGGACCACTCACCCGCTGGGTATCTGTGATGCACTGACTGAATGAAGCTCTCTTACCCCCGTCCCCCAGCCCCTCCTCAGCGCGGGCAGGGGCAGACACTGCGAGGGGAGCAGTGGGGAGCAGCACAGTCCTTGTCGTTGTGCAGGCTTCTGCCCGGTGGGGGAGGCTCCAGGCCAACCGCACCCATCACAACAGCCCCTCGTGGGATCGCAGAGGGAGCGGGAGGCACGAGAGATGGGTGAGCACTCAGCCCACGCCAGGTGCTCGACGAAAACCGGTTAGGAGGGACTATGAGCCCACCAAGATGTGGGGCGGGGGGAGGCTGTGGAAAGGAGACCACTCTTAGACGCTCAGGAGTGGAACCCCTTCCCCGGCTGTGATGTCCGGCCCGGAAGCCACAGGTCCTGCTTAGATGCCGAGGTAGGCAATGACTTTGCCATAGAAGAGACTCCCCAGGCACCAATGGGGACCGAGGGACGGCCAGGACACAGGGAGCTGCGGAGACCAGGGGCAGTCATGGGGCTGCGTGGTTTTCCTTTAAAAATGAAAACTCACTCATTTTTTTAAACATAGAAAAAAATAGGACAAAACTCCAAATGACTCATATCCTACCACCCTACTGAGATTTTCTAAAAAGTAACTCTTGAGTAAAAATGAAGTAGAATTTTGAAGTACAATGCATGAGCATGGCTAGAAAATTCAAATAGCATAGAAATTTCTACACAAAAAAGTGAATGCTTCCCTCCCAGTTTTCCAGGCCTTCTTCCCAGAGTAGCCACTGCTCAGCTGGTTTCTCCGTTCACCTTCCAGAAGAATCTTTCACAGAGAAACCTACATACATAGCCTACAAACATGGCATCTCATTCTTACTGCAGTATTTGTTATTATTATTTTTTAAGTTTTCGTTTTGGCTAGTTTTACTTAAAGCGCATGAGATCTGCCTCTTTTTTCTTTTTCTTTTTTTATGTCTCATTCTTTCTTAGTGGCTGTGAAGCACCCCTTCCTATGGAAGAACCATAATGCCTTTTCCCAGCCCCTATAATGTACACTTCAGTTGTTTACGATGTTCGGTTTTACAAATAATGTGATAGGAAACATTTAGTACAAGGAGCGGATCCAACAGGTGAGGTTACATCACAGAGGTTTCTAGCCATTGAAATGGGGGCTTTTCTAGTCTCCACGCTCTGTCCCCGCATCAGCTCCTGGTCGTCCTGGAACGTCAGATGGTCAGCGGGTGCAGAGGGGACAGGCTTGTTTCCTGGAAACCGAAGTCCTGGGTTCGAGCCTCAGCTCTGCCAGTTCCCGGCTGTGTGACTGGGGGTGCGTTTCTCACCTTTGCTGGGCCTCCGTTTCCACACTTACAAACACAGCGTGACATGAGAGTAATGGAACTTGCCCTCGCGTGGTCGACATCAGGACAATTAGAAGGTGACATCTGCGTGGGGAGCTAGGGTGGGGCCTGGCGTGACGGTCGGTGCCGAGAGTGCGGTCACCGTTGTTTTCCCGGTGCTATCGTCCTCTTTGCGCGAATGTGGAAACTGGCTCCGAGAAATGATCTGCCCAAGTCGCCCAGCTTGGAAGTAGCCGATCAGGGGACTAGAAGCCGAGCTTTCAGGCTAAAGACAGCGCTATTTATAGAACACTGCAGGCTGACCATGGGGCAAAGGACCACTGACGCCATGCCCAGGTCACTGAGCCCAGGACGGGCCCAGAGGCATGGAAATCGAGGCCTGCTCCGGGGCCGAGCTCTCAGTCCTGCCTGTACCATAGAGACACGGACGCTTACAGAATCTGCAGGTGTCTGCGCCCCTCCCGGCCTTGGGTGGAAATGTCTAGGGGTGGACATGGATCCTTTCACAGGCTCCCTGCATGATTCTAACGAGGGACCCAGTTGAAAGCCACTAAATGACACGGTCTGGGAGGCAAGGGGTGACAGGATGCCAGAGAAAGGGGCAGACACAGCCACAGAATGCCTGAACTGGAGGGGCTGGCGGGGTGGAGATCACGGAGACACATCTTACGCAGGGGAAACCGAGGCCTGAGAGGGGATCTGGCAGGTTCAAGGTCCCACCAAGGGTGAGCAGTGGAGCTGGTCCCCTCCTCTCTGGGCTGCAGACAGCCCCTCCCTGTGTCTGGGCTGGGTGTGGAAGGAGCCGCAGCCCGGGCTGCACGATTTCTGGCAGGCCGACCGTGTGAGTTTTTTAAATGACTTTGACTTTGAGTCCATTAGTGATTAATTCGGAGCTCCACTTAGAGCCAGCTGATCCATATTTGGAGGAGGGGCATATTCTGTGGCGGCTGAGTCGCAGCCACGATTCATGTTTGGGCAGCCTACCTATTCCGTGGCCTGGGAAGGCATGAAGTCCCGGCAGGGCCCTGCCGCACAGCACCCCCGCCCCAGAAGGCTCTCCGAGGGGGCGGGGCTACCAGCCTCTCACCTGGGTGGGCACGAACACTCAGCCCGAGGAACCTGGTTCAGGGGTCAGACCTCACTCCCTCTCTCCCAAGCCACCTGACCTTGGGCGTGCCCCTTCCTCGGCCCCTTGGTTCCCCATCTATGGGAATGATCGCCCCTGCGCCTCTCCCGGGAGGTTGTTGGGTAGGTTCAGTGAGACAAGATGCTGCATCGACCCAGCACACGGAGCTGGATAAGCAGGAAGAGGGCTTCAGGGGCAGGAGAGGGTCCACCCGTTTCCGCCAGCCATCCCGACGTCTCCCTGCTGCGGGCTTGGGTGCGGGGAAGCCAGGCGTCTGCAGTTCTGGCTTTCTCTCTCACCCCCGTGTGGCCTCAGGGAAGTTATTTACCTGCTTGAGCCTCCGTTTCTTTATCTGTAAACTAGAGATAATGGTCCTGTCCTTGCAAGACCGGCATACAGTTTCCATGAAAAATGTCCCTGAGAGTTGGCAGCGTGTGGCAGGGACTCCCAGCGGGACACTGGGGCAGCGGGAGCAGTCCGCCCTGGGCACCGGCCAAATGGGTACATGGCCTCAGAGAACCCTTAACAAATAATAGAATTTATTGAAAGTCGGCTTGCTCTTCATTATCTCCTCCCACCTGTAACTCTAACAGTAACAGAGATGAAATACTCCCCTGGGCTGGGGCCGGTGATGCCCACCTCCCCCCCTGCAGGGGGGCTTGCCTCTGGTCCTTGCTGTCCTTTAGTCCCCTGCACTCCCACCCAGGACTTCGCTGGAGGATGTCTCCCCCCACCCATCCCAAACTTCAGCTCCCTCCCAAACTTGTCAAAGTCTCTGGTGGCCCTTATACAGGACTGACATGGAAGGTTCTCCCTGAACTTGGGTGGGAGACTGGAAGAGGTGGGTGCATCCTCTCCTGGCCTGGAACAGAGTTACCTCTGGCCCTTTCTTCTCAGCGGTCACGCAGTGTTTTACCCTCTGCCTGCCACTCATGAGCAAAATCCCCTGGACCAGGGTGGGGCCTCCAGATAGAGACACTGAATTTAGGATTGGCTAGGACAGCTTCTTGGTCCCTGGTCTGCGGAGCCAGCAGGCTGGGCCCAGGGCAGCCGCATCATTCGCTAACTGCAGACAGCTGGGTTCTCACCCTGACTCAGCCACACCCACAGAGGGGCCTCTTTTCTCTGGACTGAAGGTGAGCCTGGCTTCCATAAGCAAGGCCCTGCTGGTTTCGCCAACTGTAAAGGAGGGACTGGACTGAGTGACTACAGAAGTCCCTTCCAGCTCTGGCTTCCGATGACTGACACTTGCAGAGTGTGTTCCAGGCTTTAGAGCACGTTTGCTCACTTTCCCTCCTGCCTGGCTCATCTCTGCATCCTCCATGGTGTTCTGGGCACACTGGAGTCCCAAGGATGCTTCTGGAAGGGTGGAGGGGCATCTAACTGCCTTTTCTGTGTCATTCGATCCTGAGTCCCTTTCCTTTAACAGAGTCCGGTGGTGGGGGAGGGGGCTTTCTGGTTTCTGCTCCCCAGCCCATCACGTCTCTCTTCTCAGCATCCATGACACCTTCCTGAAGCTCTGCCCGCCTGGGAAGCACTACAAGGAGGCGACCCTGACCATGGACCAGGTCAGCTCCCTGCCGGCGCTGAGGGTGAGTCCAGGATGGCGGGGTGGCGTGTTGTGGACTCCTGCGGACGGGCTGCAGGTGCTGGTCTCCGAGGCCTCACATGTGGAGTGGGTGGTTCGTGGGTGTGGCTGGAATGTCCAAGAGAGCTCACCAGCAGGCTGAGCTCGCCTGAGCTGTCAGAGCCCCCACGGCCAACCTTTTAGGGACCATCCCCGAGCCTTTGTCTCTGTTGTGAAAAGGCCTTGCTCTTCCCCAGGGCACCCGGGAGAGCCCAGAGGTGTCCAGTGAAAGGGCTCTCTAATCAGTCCTGAGATTTTAATTAAAATTTGTTCAATGCGTAGAGAGGCAATGTCAGGTTAACAAATCATGGTGGCAGCAGGCTTCCCGGTTTTTCATTTGGATCTCGGCAGAAAAATGCTTTGAATTTGTCAGTGTGCAGCAGAACCCGTCTTCATTTCTGTCTGGAACAAGACGCGCTGAGAGCCATGGGCACTCTTGGAAGAGAGCCAGGGGCCTGCGCGGGAGGTGCTCTGAGGGGGGCCCACGTGGGTGGAGGGGCACCCGGTCAACTAGGGCTGCAGAGTGACATGTCTTGCTCTAGGTCAGAGACAGAGAAAGAAACAGGGCTGGGGCTTGACACGGAGGGAGGAAGAGCGAAGACAGAGAACGGGAAGGCAGGTGGAGGGCGCTGGGGAGGATGCGGTTTTGGAGAGGAAAAGAGTGGAGGCCTCGAAAGGTGGAATGGTTGGATAATGTGCCTGTGCCAGGTACAGAACGGGGGGCCCTGTCCCTCTGGTCCCTCCTACTCACACGCACACCCCTCACCACCCCCACGCCCCCACATGCTCTCTCTCTCTCTTACACACACACACACACACACACACACACACGGGCTCAAACACGCATGCACATGGTGGCTGGGACTTCTCTCAGACCTGGACGCTCCACTCAGGGACCCGAGAGGCAGCCCAGGGAGACAAGGGCAAATGGGTGGGGAGGATGTCACTGGCCAGTCCCCAAATGTCTGAATGCTAAGCCTGGAAAGAAACTGAGAGACCAGCCACTCTAATGTCTGTCGAAGGCTCTCCGCCCTGGGCTTGCCTGTTGCATCTCTGGGGCCTGGAGAGGGGCCCCAGAGACCTGCCTACCTGTGGCAGAGCTTGGCCTGACGCTTAAGACCAGCCGCCAAGCTGTGCTCTCCACTTCTGATCCGAGCAGGGGGGCAGGGTGACCGCGGGTGGTCTGGGCCTGCTTGGCTGCGGTGGGCTCACCCTTTGGCAGCCGGGCAGGGGGTGGTGCAGCAGACAGGTCAGGCTGCTGTGAAGCCCACGCCCGCAGGGTGGGCTGGGATCTGGACCACGTCTGGAGCACCAGACCCCTGGGAGCTTACTCATTGGGAAGTGGCTGGAAACTGAGAGGGAGGTCTTGGGATAAGGTTACGGATTTCATGTTTCTGAATGATCATTATTTTATTTTATCATACAAATGAAAACCAGGTCATTGTTAAAAAAAAAAAAAAAACCCCAAAAAACCTGGAATACAGACAAGCCAAAATCTGATAAAAATCCTCAGGTCGCCCACCGCAAAGGATCAGTCATGGCCATCTTGCCTTATTTCCTTCCGTACTTTTTTCTGTGCAGATGTGTTTATTGGGATCACATTGACTATGTTTGTGGGCTTGTGTGGTTTTTTGTGAAATTTTGGTTACTTTGTTGCTTTTCCAACTGGTTCTGGACAACCAGAACCATCTCATGAATTGAGGACACTGAGCCGTTGTCGCACCTAGACAGACGAGGGGACAGGGCACGGGTCAGGAGCAGGAGAGCTGGGTCTGAACTCACTTGCTGGCTGTGTGGTCTTAGGCACGTTGCTTCACAAGAGGAACGACTGGGGGTCAGGGGGAGAAAATAGACCCCAACCAAAGGAAACTGGGGGGTGGGGTGCAGCACGGAGCTCGTTTTCCTGCAGGCGAAAGGCTGTCCTTGAAAAGGGACAGGCCTAGCTCCAGGTCCTTCCAGACAAACCGCTGGGTGCAAGGGCACAGTTTCTTGACAATACAGGGAGATGATACTTTCTAATCACCCAACTATGCACTGAAGGAATGAACTTCCTGTCACTGAGGGGCACCAAGTGGGGCCAACCACGCAGTTAGCTGGTGCATTCTGGCACACACGTAGGTGTCAAAGGAGAATGGACCACGTGTGAGGGTGCCCTCCTCACCACCCCCATCTGTGGTCTGGACCTGGGGCTTGGTCCTTTCTTTTGTGTCTCTACCACACTGGGTCCCAGACTTCTGACTTTCTTGGTCAGTGAAGTTCACCTCCACCCCAGACCGATCCTTTCTTTGAGGAAGAACTAGCTAGAGATGTCAACTTTCCATTTTCCCAAGTAAGGACGTTAACGAATACTTCAACCATGATCATCGCCATTTTATTTTTTTTAATGTTTATTTCAGGACAAAAAAGGTAAGAAGGATCTAATCCCAGAAGCAAGAACAGTTCTTTCCATACATATCCCTTCTTGTCCTTATTTTTTTCCCCTTTGTTTTTGGTTGTCAAGCACTTTTTCACTAACCATCACTAGTCCTCAGATGACCTTTTGTGGGTTTTAGACCTAGGACTAAAATGCCCATGTCTTTCCAATCGTGGATGAAGCAGAAAACTCGCTTCCCAAAATGAGCAAGGAGAGGCTTGCTGGGCGGTGGGGGCTTGAGCGTCTCCATGTCCCCTGAGGCCCCAAGGACGGGAGCTGTGTGACTCACAGGCCCCAGAACACATCTCAGGAAAGGTCTTCGGGATGGCCACCCAGACGGGTCCAGGCACTGCTGTCACCAGGCTCAGGGTCTCCAGTGGTCTGGGAAGAAAGTTCTGCTTTCTTAACTTGGTTTTGCTCGTGGAAAAAGGAGGTTGGTTAATAATGGGAATGGTCTGCCCTTCAGCAGAGAGCGGGGGAGACCGCGGCCTGGGCAGCAGAGGGTGGTGGGGAGAGCCTGCTGACCATGCCCTCCCTCTCCCACTCACGGGGGCTCTGTTTTCTTTTCGTCTGCTGCTCTGTTTGGTGTATTTAAAAGCGAATTAGCTCAGTGTTTCTGTTCTCGTAAATAACAATCTTGTTTTCTGTAAACACGGACAAGTAGTGTTGTGGTGCGACCGGGCTTGGGACTGTGGGTGGCAGGACCTACGGGAAGATTTTAGGGTCTCTGATGGGCTCTGCTGGAAGTGTGCACACTGAATGGGGCCACTGAGCTCCTCTGGCCTCTTCCCTGCCTTCTCCTCTGGGGCACCTGCAGGTGGGTGGTCTATGCCCAGCTCCTCCTCCCCTCCCCCTCACCTGCTATATTCTACCTGGGCATCCACTCTAAAAACATGAAGTGATTTGGAAACCTGCCTGAGGTGTCAGGAGGCCTTCCAAGTATGGCTCCTGAGGTTTCAGCTCCATGTTGGGTTCCGCGTACCCCCAGTTTTCTGAGCCTTTCTGGAGCCTGCTTATAGGCTGGGCCTCTGCCTAGAACAGCTTGCGAAGAACTCACTGCTGAGCCTTTCAGCAGCAAGAAGTCTTCATATTTATTTAGTCTCTTGAGAAATCACCAAAGTAGCAGAGGCAGGGATGGGAGCACACTTTAAAATTATTGTTATCATCATTATTTTAGATTATAAATAAAAATTATTTATGCATGCCAAGAGTCAAGTTGCCATGTGTGGGTTAGCCTCACCTTCCCTCTCCACAGGCACCATTTTCAGAATAACAAGAATCTTAGCTGATTCTTGCTATTTGCCTCTGTATCGCTAAAGAGCACACTTGTATTGCCCCTTCTCCATGTCTCAGCCTTGGACTTGCCCTTAGAGAAGAAGTCTAGCTCACCCCCGACCCCATGCTCATCCTACACATCATTCCCTCCTGCTGCCCTCCCAACATAGTTATATAATAATTTGGGTCAGATTAATGTGCATTGCTACATTATTATGACTGCATGCCCTACTCGGAGCTGAGCCGTGAGGTAGACTATGGTTAGTTTTCCCTTTCTGCACAATTTCTGTTGTTGTTGCCTTTCCTGGTGTAACCATTGTTTTTGCTTAGTTCCCTATATTATCATTAAGCCGACGCCAAACCTCTGCCAACTGTCTGAATCTCCTCTACAGGCACCCAGAAGTAACACATTGTTCGTGCATCCCATTTTCTTGGAAAGTCTTCTATTGGGGCCTTCAGGCCCACTTGAATTGGGGCCAGGTAGCCCGCTGAGCCTGGTACAGGTTGTCATTCTGGAATCTCCTTCCACCGTCATCCAGATTCTTCTCACTGCTGCTTCCATCTGCCCTCTCTCGTCTTCCCCTCCCTCCATTTACTCCCTTGTTTTGGTGGAGCACATCCTTTAGTAGCTTCCCGAATAAAGGGTGCATGCATGGAGGTAGATGCTTCGATGCCTTATATGTCTGAAAATGCCTTATTCTCCCCTCGCTCTTAATGGAGAGTTTACAGGGAGTTGAATTATAAGTTGGACATCCGTTTTCTTCAGAATTTGGAAAGCACCACTCTGTTGCACGTTAGCTTTCCCTGTTGTTATTGAGAAGGTCCCTGATCTTTTTTGTGACCCCCCGCTTTTTTTCCTGGAAACTTGTAGGGTCTTTGCTTTGGCTCCCACTATTCTGAAATCACCAACAACGGGAGTTGGTCTGGCTCCTGCTCTCCACGCACCAGCGCGCAGAGGGCACGTTCGGTGGAGCTCTCCTTCAGTTCAAGGACATTGCCATGCATGCATTCTTTCATAGCTTCTCCCCCCGTTTCCTTGTTCTCCCTGTCCGGAACGCTGATACCCGGCGTTGCACATCCTGGGTGGGTCTCCTACTTTGCATCTTCTTCTCTGTTAATTTTCACCTTCGTCTCTTGGCTCTTCTTCCTGGGAACTTTCCTCAACTTCGTCTCCAACTCTAATTTACAGTCACTTCTGCCATCATACTTTTGATTTCTAAGGGCTCAATTTTATCCTCTGTTTATTCCTATTTTTAAATATTGTCCCTTCCTTTTCT